TTGTTACGACCGGCCTAGGGGAACCGGTACATAGCATGAAAGGATGCTCCCCTCTTTCCCCACTCCCAAGGACGACCAATGCCACACAGCTGCAGTCCAACAAAAGATAATTTATTTAACACTCACCAAGAAAGGTAGCAATAAGCTTCAGGGTGGGCGTGGCCCAAAACAACAAACAAAACAATCTACTCTCCAAAACTAACTTACCTACCCAAAAGTAAAGAAAATAAAAATACAGGTCACTCACCTGACTCCCTATAAATAAACAGGAGAAAAAAGATTAACAAAAAGGGCTACCCACTCCTACAGCTACCTGGACTGCTGGACTAATATCACAATTAACTTATTTTTAACACAGTACAACGAAGCATGGTGCAGTTGGGAGTAGGGCCAAGAGAAGAGGAAGAACAGCTCAAGAAGCGGCCATTTTATACCAGCTCCACCAATCTCCAACCACCAATCAGCAGCCAGCACCTGGAGAGAGAGAAACACACTAAGGGTGGCAGCACCGCCCTCAGGCAGGGAGGAACAACAGAACAACAGAACAGCAGAATCACAAATAAATGACCCAGGGTCATAACAATATACATTGAGGGGGACATTCCCCGCCCCCACCTCCAATGCCCAAAATGTTCCCCCAGTATATAACTGAAACTGAAAAACAACAACAAACTTTGTTTACTGCAAACAAAGTGGCAAATATTATCTTGGAGGACATCACTGCACTTGGTTGACTATTTTTATATGATCTTAGATGTAAATATTGCATGTTTCTTTCAGATAAAACACATTTTGGACTTGTGAATGAGTCAATGGAATTTCTTGCAATAATGAAAAAATACTGGCAATCATGTCCGCCTGGCACAAACCACATGTTTTGGACAGCTGTGAAGTGACAGAATGTTCCACCATCATGGTTCTTATATTGCCAGATTCCAGAGAGTCTCCCCTCTTCATATATGGCAGAATATGTCTTCTTCCAACTTGCTATGCTGAGATACATGTAAAAATGTAAGAATTTAGTCATGTGGATTTGTTTTTTTCGTTGATATAAAAATTAATATAAGATACAGGCACATAGAAGGACATGTAATGATGGCAAATCTGGTTAGCCCAGATTGTCCTGAAAAAAAACAAGATATAGCATGTGTATGTAGCCTTTATAATGACTGTGATATGAGCTTAGAAGTAAAGGCAGTAAAAATACCCCAAAAACGCCTAGGGCCCATAGGGTTGAACACACATTCAACACACAATAAACACATTACACACACATAAAATACACAGTAAACACATTAAACACACATTGAACACACAGTAAACATGGCTTAATAGAGATAGTCTCAAACACAAATCAGCTTCACTATAACTCGCAGACAGGGAGTTTTTCCTGATCAGCTGTGAGGGTCATAAGGACAGAGGGATGTCGTATGCTGTAAAGACCTGTGAGGCAAATTATGATTTGTGATATTGGGCTTTATAAGTAAAATTGATTGATTGATTGATTGATTGATTGAGGGAAATGGTTTCAGCTTGAGGTCTGTGTCACTGTGACGTGTAGTTACCTTTCTGGGGAGGTGCACATCAAGCTATGGCGTAGGCTCTGCATCGACGCAGAGACTATGGCGTAGGTACGATGTCAATTCAACGCAGAAGTATAAATTCCTCAGTAACTCTGGCCGTGTCCGTGATGTGGTGTGAACATTTTTCAGACTAAATTCATTCAGCAGCAGAAACACAGACAAGCTCAGAGACAAATGTTTGTCAGCGATTATGATGTCACTTCCTGTCTCCAGCTGTAGACACATAAGTGACATGATAAAATCAATGACCAAGCTAACCACTTCCTGTTTGTGTCTCTTCTTCTTCTCATCTCCTCATCCTCTCTGACTCTGTCCCTTCTGTCCTCCGATCTCTGTCCCTCTTACCTCTGTCCTTCTGTCCCCTCTGTCCCCTCTGTCCCTCTGTCCCTCTGTCCCCTTTGTTTCTTCAGGTGTAACGTCCAGGACTACATCTGGCACAAAGGCGCTCGCTGTGAGTCGGTTGTGACGGAGTTCCAGGTGATGTGTCTGGCAGTCGGCGCCTCGGCTCTGGTCGTCCTGCTGCTCTTCATGATCGTCGTCTGCTTTGCCAAGAAGCTCCACGTGCTGAAGACGGAAAACAAGAAGTTGCGTAAACGCAGGTGAGGCTCTGCTATGCAGCTGCTCGTCCTGTTCTCTGTGATCTGTAATGATTCAGTTTTATTTGACAGGCAGAGCTTTACCGTCACCGCCTGTCTGTGTCTGCGGCTGCCTGCGCACCGACCTGCTGCTGTTCACTGTGACAATCAGAGAAACAACCAACAGCTTTTAACACTCACCAATAACTGATCGATCCGTCTGAGACACAGTGAGTGGGGGACAGGTTCGTGTTAACAGGAAGTTATTAATGATCATGTGACCTGATGTCAGATCAACGAGGAGACTTGACCTCCAGGTTATTGTTAACAGGAAGTTATTAATGATCATGTGACCTGGTGTCAGATCAACGAGGAGACTCGACCTCCAGGTTCGTGTTAACAGGACGTTATTAATGATCATGTGACCTGGTGTCAGATCAACGAGGAGACTCGACCTCCAGGTTATTGTTAACAGGACGTTATTAATGATCATGTGACCTGGTGTCAGATCAACGAGGAGACTCGACCTCCAGGTTCGTGTTAACAGGACGTTATTAATGATCATGTGACCTGGTGTCAGATCAACGAGGAGACTCGACCTCCAGGTTATTGTTAACAGGACGTTATTAATGATCATGTGACCTGGTGTCAGATCAACGAGGAGACTCGACCTCCAGGTTCGTGTTAACAGGACGTTATTAATGATCATGTGACCTGGTGTCAGATCAACGAGGAGACTCGACCTCCAGGTTCCTGTTTACAGGAAGTCATTTATGATCATGTGACCTGGTGTCAGGTTAACGAGGAGACTCGAACTCCAGGTTTGTCTTTACAGAAAGATGATGGCCAACATGTGTCCCACACAGCTCAGGAATTATTGATCATGACAAAATATTTTCAGGATAGACTGAGGAAGATGAATTTTAGTGTCTTCCTCAGGGACACAGGACAGAGACATATATCCCACACATCATTTAGTCAGATTCAGATTAGACTGAAAAATCAGTCTGAGGACTCGACGACCCATTTGGAAATAAAAGTTAAAACGACTTTCTGTTCGTCAACATCATCATGAATTTTAATTAATTTGAAATGAATTTTTTTTTGACTCAGATTATAATTGTGAAGATTAGATGATGGATGGATGGATAGACAATGGAGGGATGGATGGGTGGGTGGATGGTTTCCATGGTGATCTTGGTGAGGAGGATGATGATGGTGATGATGATGATGAAGATGATAATGTTGATGATGGTAATGGTGAGGATGATGATGAAGATGATGGTGATGATGAAGAAATGTGGTGCAATCAGTAGCAGCAGGGAGTAAGGGATGATGTCATTGGTGGATCCAGCCGAAAGTAGGGCAGGGGGGAAGGGGGGAGGTGGGAGGAGTTGACCTACATACAGCTGTTCGACCTGATAGAGACATCAAGTGGTCGACTCAGAGAGGAGCAGAGGAGAGGAGCAGAGGAGAGAAGGAGAGAAGGAAAGAGGAGAGCAGGAGAGATGGAGAGAGGAGAGAAGGAAAGAGGAGAGAAGGAAAAAGGAGAGGAGAGGAGAGAAGGAGAGAAGGAGAGAGGAGAGAAGGAAAGAGGAGAGAGGAGAGGACAGGAGAGAAGGAGAGGAGAGGGGAGAGAAGGAAAGAGGAGAGAAGAGAAGGAGAGAGGAGAGAAGGAGAGGAGAGAAGGAGAGAGGTGAGGGGAGGAGAGAAGGAGAAGAGAGAAATGAAAAAGGAGAGAAGAGGCCCGTTTCCACCGCAGGAACTTCAGGGTAATTTTACGGGGCCGGGGCCGCAGGAACCACCCCCGGAACTTTTACAGGGGCTAAACAAGTCCCTGCCTCGGAGTAGGTACTCAGAACAGCCCAGAGAAACTCCTGGCTGGGGCTTGGGGATTACTTGGTGCTGATTGGATATACTCAAGGCGGGATGTGACGTTTTGTAAATAACAACATGGTTATCGTAGATTAGCTGGGTTAACCGTTAGCTGTTAGCGGTGTCTGTAATGACTCCGGTCACGGTCCGTGAAAAAAATATTTTTTCCAGCGGATATCTTAGTTACAACATGATTGAACTAGCAAAGCAGTTTTGTGTTGCTATGTGTGGTATTTATTCAGTTTTGGGAAATCACGATGTCTAGAAAGCATCAGCTGACAGGGACAGCTAACAGCAGCAAAGCTAACATCAGGACGTCATCTGTTAAAAGCCTCCCGTTGTCAAATACAACATGAAACTACTCCAGTTAGCTCAATCATGTTGTAACTAAGACATCCACTGGAAAAAATATTTTTTTCACAGGCCGTGACCGGAGTTATTACAGACACCGCTAACTGCTAAT